ATTTTGGTTAAGGATTCGCGTGGAAACGAACAAAGCGTCCGTGCACTGCTGGACAGCGGAGCCCGAAATAGCTTTATAACGCGACAATGTTGTCAGCGCTAAGGCTTAGTAATAAATATGTCACTTTCATGTCCTGTAGTCAAAGGCATCGGAGGTACTAGTAAAGCTACCCAGGGATATATAAATTTAAAATTTTGTTCTCGGATAGATCGTAATGTTAACTTTGATATAAATGCACTAGTAGTAGATAGGGTCACTGAACGGTTGCCAACCGTTTCGGTTGACACCTCGGCAATGATTGAATTTAAAAATTTGACTCTATCAGATGACACTTACGCCGTTCCTGGAAACATAGACATGCTCATTGGAGCATCGCTTTTCCCTCATCTTTTGCTAAACAATAAGGTCAGGGGCAACTCCTCGCATACCGCGCCTTACGCACTGGAAACCGTATTGGGCTATGTCATCGTTGGCTCCGCCTCCATCATAGATAGTATTTCGGCAACCTCTTATTGTGGTATGGCTGTGGAACAGCTCGAGTCGTTAGTCCGCAAATTTTGGGAGATGGAGGAGGTGAACGTCCCACCCATAGCTAGCTCAGATGACAGATTATGCGAGGAAATTTACGTCCGCACGACCGTTCGTGATCGCGACGGTAGATATAGTGTAGCGCTACCTTTTAAAGGAGATGTTTTATCTCTCTGCCATTCGCGTCAAATGGCGGAAAAACGTTTCTACAGCTTGGAGCGTAGGATGCTCGCTTCACTCCAGTTAAAGGAAGCTTATGACGGCATCATTAACGAATATATAAGAGAAGGTTACATATCACTTGTGGCTTCGAAATTAGATAACTACGAAGACACACCGTCGTATTTCATACCACACCACGGGGTCATTAGGGAGGACAAACTTACATCTAAGTTACGTGTAGTGCTCGACGCTAGTGCTAAAACTAGCACTCACCTGTCGCTTAACGATATCCTATATAGTGGGCAAAATTTACAGGGCAGTTTGTTTAACATAATAGCCAATTTTCGTTTGTTTAGTATAGCACTATCCGCCGATATTCGCCAAATGTTTCTTTGCATAGGGGTCCGTGAATGCGACCGTAGATTCCAACGCATTTTATATCGTTTCGACCCAAAGGAACCTCTAATGGTGTTTGAATTTAATCGCGTTTGTTTTGGTTTAAAGTCGATCCCATTTCATGCGTTACGCACGGTGAGACAGCTTGCCCATGATGAAGGTCCCTCTTACCCTAAAGCTAAGAGGGCAATTGAGAACGGATTATATATGGATGATTTTGTATACTCGGTCGATAGCGTGGAGGAGGCCACCCTAACCACCGCCGAGGTTATAAAGCTCATGAAATCGGGTCAATTCGATCTTGTCAAGTGGACTAGTAATTCGCGTTCGGTTTTAGCCACAATCCCACTATCACACCGTCTTTCGGCGATAAAGGAATTCGACCATTCTGATACACACAAGGTGCTCGGTCTGTGTTGGTCACCAGAGTCTGACGTGTTTAGCCTTAAGGTAAATCCGCCCGTAGAGAAATGCACAAAGCGCACAATACTGTCATGCGTTGCTAGATTATGGTATGTCATGGGTTTCGTAGCACCGGTGGTATTATACGCTAAGCTTTTGATTAAACAACTTTGGTTATATGAATGCGATTGGGATGACTCGCCGCCTGACAGCATTGTTCGGTTGTAGCAGCGTTTTAGAGAGGAACTTCCTTTACTAAGAGAAATTAAAATACCGCGTCATATAAACGTCGATAGAAATAGCGTCATAACGGTCGTTGGGTTTGCAGACGCCAGCGAGAAGGCTTACGGGGGCGTTGTATATTTCCACGTCCAGAATAATGGTAGAAATTCGATTAGCCTCATTAGTTCTAAGTCGAGAGTCTCCCCCCGTAAGGTTGTCTCTCTGGCGCGCTTAGAGCTTTGCGCAGTATTAGTACTCACCAAGCTTATTACCGCAGTTATCAGCGCATGTAGGGATAGAGTTCACATAGAAAGGATATTTGCCTTTTCCGACTCCACCGTCGCCTTATTCTGGGTTCATTCTTCACCCCACCGTTGGGATACGTTTGTCGCGAACCGAGTGGCCAAGATCCAAGACGAGTTAGAAACGCGGAACTTTTATCACGTGTCTGGTATGGAAAACCCTGCCGATTGTCTCTCCCGTGGGCTCACCCCGATGCAAATAATGGACCACCCGCTTTGGTTCCACGGACCTTCTTGGGTTCACTTGGATCCCTCACAATGGCCAATAACCGATTTCGAACCTTCGTCAGTGTCACAACCGCCGGAAGAGAAGAGACACGCTCTAGTGGCGAACGTTTCGAGCGAGGTTTCTCCAATCATTGCTTTGGCGAACCGCTTGTCTTCTTGGTCGAAATTATTGCGTAGCGTATTTTACGTTTGTCGATTCGCGAAGCTTTTACCGCGACGTTCGTATGTCTTAGCGTCCGATTACAACTATGCCGAATCGCTAGTATTACGTGAACTTCAACGTGCGCATTTCTCTGAAGAAATTACAAGATTACAATCGAATAGAGCTTGTAGTCGCGCCTTTCAACGTCTTAAGCCATTTTACAGGATGGGATTGTAAGGGTAGGTGGACGCTTGTCCAACTCGCAGTTGAGTTTCGACCAACGGCACCCTATAGTTTTACCGCGTAAAGACCATATCATGAATTTATTAGTCGATTACCATCATAAACTGAACTCGCACGCCGGCCCCGACTTGCTGATGTCGATCTTGCGTCAGAATTATTGGATTCTTTCTGCACGTAGTTTAATACGCAATCGGGTGCACAGATGTATAGCTTGCTTTCGGGCACGCCCCAAGCCGTCATTTCCGGAAATGGCGGAACTTAGATCTTGTAGAGTAGTACAATCAGTAAAGCCCTTTACGCACACCGGATCTGATTTCGCTGGTCCGTTTAAGGTCACGCTCACACGCGGGCGTGGTATAAGATCCACAAAGGCTTACGTCTGCATTTTCGTGTAGTCTAACTACTCGAGCGGTGCATATAGAACTCGTTGGTGATCTGAGCACAGCAGGCTTTATGGGTGCATTTAAAAGATTTCTATCCCGACGAGGCCCTGTAAGTAAATTATATTCGGATAACGGTACGAACTACGTCGGTGCAAAACGTATTCTATCAGAACTACATGAGCTCTTAGCTAGCAAGTATTACAATTCGGAGTTCGCTCACATTCTAGCCGAGAACTGCATTGAGTGGTCTCTGAACGTTCCAGCCGCAAGTCATTTTGGGGGCAATTGGGAGACTAATATTAAGAGTCTAAAAAGTCACTTATACCGAGTAATAGGAGATCAAATTTTGTCCTTCGAAGAGCTAAGTACGGTGCTCGCTCAAATTGAATGCGTAATGAATAGCCGCCCACTTTGTCGTACGTTGTCTAGTGACCCCTCGGAACCGCTGGCTCTAACTCCAGCACATTTTTTGAATTTAAGCCCTTTAAAGTATTTGCCCGCCGTAGATATGGATGAGAGCAGACTTAGCATTTCCGCACGCCACAAATTATTAGACCGGTTAGTGCAATCGTTTTGGAAACGATGGAGGATGGAATACATGCATACTTTGCAGTCTCGGCAAAAATGGAACATAGCAACTGAGCCTTTAGCTGTAGGAACTGTAGTTGTGCTCACCAAAGAGAAATTTTTTGTGCTTCTCTTTGTTATTTAGTTTGATCTTAGCTCTAGTTGTTTTGGTTAATTTTGAAGGAAATCCTTCAAGGGCGGGGGAGATGGTTGCGCGGAAAACCATTCGTATTTATTTTACTTGACGGTAGGGCTGGCCAAATCGTTTATCCCTTCCAAACGATATTATTCATACCCTCCTATCGACACATCGGGGTGGTGGGGTGGGAGGGGAAAGAAGATGATTCTAGAATATCACGTAATCATCGCAACCGAAGGAATAAAAGGCACGCGCGACCGACGCGCAGTCTCTTCCCGCCGCGCTCGTCGTTGGAACCACACCGCCTAGGATAATAGTGTCCTAAAGAGTTCTCGCCCACGCGCACCGCTAGTATAACCGCTTAGCCTGAAGCAATCGAGCTCCAGGAAACCCGCCTCACCTCGTGTGATATATAGTCACGCACCGCCTCTCCCCAGAGAGTCTACCTAGAGTATCTTCCAGAAGTCGCAGCTATAGTGCCCAACAGCATAGAAGAAACACCCCGGTGAGTGAATATTCCTAATAATATTGCCTGCTTGATATAATTGTGTTTTAACCCGCTCAATTTTGTTTTCTCCTAATCAAGCAGGATTCCTTTCATAGATTTGGCAAATAATAGTTCGTTTTAGGGAAGAGTGAGTGCATTGTACCGCGTGCTATAGTCGTCATTATATAAGCGTAGAAGCAATCGCATATACAGTCCACTTTAGTTAATATCTCGCGTAATAGGTTTAAGGTTCGACCGGGGAATTAGACTTCGGTAACCTTAGGCTCGTCGCTCCACCATAGGTACTTAAAAATTTGTTACTAGTATTAATATCGTAATTACCAACATTTTTGGCTTTAAATTACTAAGTTTTAATAAACGATAAAATTCAATGAGGTTGTCGAGTGCCTATAATACTTATCGATGTTCTTTCCTACCCATATATTTTTTTTATAAAGGAAGGGGCAAACGAGCATGCGGCTCACCTGATGTTAAGTGACTACCGCCGCCCATGATCAACCGCAACACCAGGGGAATTGCAGGTGCATTGCCGGTCCTTTAGAAAGGAGTAAGCTCTTTTCTGAAGGTCCCCAGGTCGTATCGGTCCGGAAAAATCGCCGGTGTTAAACTATTCCACAAAGAGGGTTGTACGCGGAAGAAAACTCCTTTTGAAACGTACAGTGGTGGACCGCCAAGCATCCAGATGGTGTGGATGGTATCGGGACGTTTGCCGCGTAGTGCGTTCACGAAATTTGGCGGCTGGGAATAATCCGAACAATTCCTCAGAGCACTCTCCACGCTATATGTGAAAGAAAATGCAAAGAGATGCATCATCTCTTCGCAGTGCCAGTGAATTGAGCAGATCGAAAAGCACTCGGTCGTCGACGATTCGAGCCGCTCTGCGCTGGATGCGGTCAAGTGGAAGGAGCTGGTACTGGGGAGCCCCAGCCCAGAGATGGGAACAGTATTCCATGTGCGGCCGAACCTGCACCTTGTAAAGTTGCAGGCGGTGTGCCGGCATGAAATACTGTCCCGCTCTGCTGAGCACGCCAAGCTTTTTGGAGGTCAATTTGGCCTTCTCTTTCAAGTGACCACGAAACTGCACGTCACTCGATATGTCGACGCCAAGGATTCCGATACTGGCTGAGGCAACAAGAGGAGTGCCTTGAAAATGAGGAGATACGACATAGGGGTCCTTTTTAGCTGTTAACGCGCAAACTTGTGTCTTCTGGGGGTTAAACTGGACTAGATTTAGTCGCGCCCAATCCGAGACTCTGCTACGCAAAGACTCGACTTCAGACACAAGTTTATCCCGGCATTCGGAGACGTTTTCCCGCAAAATATTGGCTCGGCCGGTGTAAAAAGCATCACCAGTGCTGTCATCTGCATAGCAAGGAATGTTACGGGTTTGCAACATATCATTGATATGCAGAAGAAACAGCGTTGGCGATAGCACGCAGCCTTGTGGAACACCAGCATTAATAGGCTTGTAATCGGAGCTTGCATCGTCAACAACGACCTTGATGCTCCGATCTGCAAGAAAGCTGGTGATCCAATCGCACAATTTCTTGGGAAGCCCATAGGAAGGGAGCTTCGAAAGAAGCGCTTTGTGCCAAACCCGATCGAAGGCCTTCGCAATGTCCAAACTAACGGCCAATGCCTCCCCCTTGGACTCTACTGCCTCCGCCCATCTGTAAGTTAGATAGACCAGAAGATCTACCTAACTCACAGATGGATGGATCTCACTAATCAGCTGGTGATCCTCAAGGTACCTCATAAGGGAGAGCTAACAAGGAGGTGATGGCGATAGGCCGGTAGTTGGACGGGTCTGAGCGGTCGCCTTTTTTAGGGATCGGGTGAACGAAAGCTGTCTTCCATGATATTGGGACTACGCCTAGGGAGTAGGAGTACCGGAAAAGACGCGTTAAAACCGGTGTCAACTCTGGAGCACACGTCCTTAGCACAATTGGGGGGACTCTGTCAGGCCCACTCGACTTATGGATGTCCAGGGAGAGGAGTGTTTTGCGAACCGAGCGCTGTGTGACCTGCACTTCCGGCATAGAGCACTCATAACGCGAGATGGTCGGCGGCGTACTCCCCCGTCATCGAGAGTCGAGTTGGACGCAAAGAAAGAGCCTAGCAGATCGGCTTTCTCCTTTGCGGTATGGGCCAGTGAGTCGTCCTCCCTGTGCAGAGATGGAAGAGATGGCTGACAGAAATTCCCCTGGACAGCCTTGGCGAGAGACCAGAATGCACGGGTTCCAGAAGGAAGGCGAACTAGTTTCTCGCCAATTCTGCCTATGTGCTCTGACTTTGCCTTGGCAATGACTCTTTTGATGGACCTAGAGGCGGAATTATACTTCTTTTTTAGAGTGCTGGTGTTTACATCCCGGGACGTTGATGATCAGCCCAGGCTTGGTAGCACTTCTGCTTATAGCATGATGCTATTTTACAGGAGCGACCAAACCATGGCTGAGATTTGCCTCCAATAGGCACCACAAAGGAAGGAATAAAAAGTTCCATACCCTGAAGTACCACATCAGCGACAGAATCCGCAACAACCTTGGGATTTCCGGGAGAAGCAAACCCGCCCCCAATGGCTAGGGTGCATAGAAAGACCGCATCCCATCCCAATCGGCTGACCTATAGTGATGACTGCGATTTCAGCGTGAGTGGCATCACACTCCGGACAAGACAATGGTCCGAGGAGCCTAAAGGGGCGTCGACGGAAATCTGATATCCGTCCGGGTGAGAGGTCAGCAGAAGGTCCAACAGTGAAGGTGCTTGATCCTCCACATCTGGAATCCGCGTAGGCGAAGTAACCAGTTGTGTCAGATCATAAGCCAAGGCAAAATCATAAACAAATCTCCCCGCATGAACGGTTAAACGTAAACCAAGCCATTCGGCGTGATGGGCGTTAAAGTCGCAGAGGATCACGATCTTTGCGGAGAGGATCTGCTGTAGCACCGAATCTGTAGCCATTTGGACGTGGATTTCTGAATGAATCGAGTCGGTCTGTTTCGGCATTACCGCTATGGAACCTATAGAGGCACCCGTAGACGCACGGATGGTCGTCGCTGTCTACGCGTAACCAAAGGATGGACAGGTCCGAACCTTCAAGACCTCTGAGGGTTCGAGAACAGATGTCCTCTCTGACGTAAACGCAAACTCCAGCCCGAGGCACAAAGGAGTATTCCTGATTGTACCCCGGGCAGGAGAGATACGAAACATCGGCCGGAGAGGACACCTGCGTCTCGGTCAGAAAGAGCAGAGCCGGCCTCGACGTCTCGAGATGGTAATGGACGCCGTTTAGGTTAGAGTGAAGTCCCCTGATATTGCAGAAATTCACGGACAGCGTGGCAGGGGTCGCCTTGGTCTTGTTGCTCCGTTTGCCCCGAGCAGTTGTAGTCTTGAGCGGAATTTTGCCCCCTCCCCTCCCGAATACGCGGGGCAGTCTGAGCACCCATGCTCAGGATTGGAGAAACATGGTCGTGGATGCTCAGCGAGGGATTCTCCAGGGGTGCTGGTACCCTCCTTGGGTAGTCTTTTACCCTTTTGGGTTAGTCATTTAATTCCGCTACCATGTTGATGGGGGGGGGGGGATTTGGGCCTCCGGCCACCTGCACTCACCAGACGAAACACGGAAGCAGAGCTTCCACTTCACGCCGGTATTCTGTGAGGTCGTGGTACCACCCCGGTTTGAACCGGTCCATACGTGCAACAGCAAAGCTGCCGCGTAGCTCTACCACTGTTATTAATTATTAATGTCTTTAGTGAGTTTGCGTGAGTATGCACTGAACGGGTTCCCGCCCGTTTTGGGATTGGAGTTAGCATGGGTCATCAAGCCACGGGTAGCCATGGCTTGGTAACCCATGCGAATCCCAATCCCAAGAGTAGTGGGCTCACATTGCTGGCCTGAAATGGTCACTCTGAATGGGCTTGTCGAGCTCTTGGATGCATGTTAGTGGGCTGCGGCCAGAGGAGATTCCTCTCCCTGTACCGCTGCAGGAAAGGTGGAGTTGCAAGGGAAGAGGAGTGTTGGTATAGCGACTGGCGATGCGCCACTCGACTATCCTCAGGCATAGTATGAGGAAGCTCAAAGTCGCTCAGCGAGTTATGGAGAGAGCTATGCTCGGGGTTTCTCCTCGTAATAAACTTAGGAATGAGGATATCCGTAATTCATAAGTAAGATGAAGTGACAATGAGCCGGCCATATAGCTCGAAGAACCAATAAGTATGTAATAAGAGGGAGGACCCTTATAGATGGAACGACAACCTGGTAAGCAAGTTGATGGATGCAGGTGGCTCAGAACGGTGCTTTGTGGCATTCCTTTGGGGAGGCTGAGAGGATGTTCAGCCGTGAATTTGTGAAGAGCTGTAATGATGCTGAATAATGATGGCACTATATTAATATTATACATAAATAGAATGGACGCACTGACCTCTCTATATACAAGTACGCTGGACTGGCTATACCATACAAAATGTCGGTGCCAATTTGAATCGCAACTGTTGGTCGTCTTGATAACTAATATTGATATAATATGCCAAAGTCTGTTGTCTTATTTAAAAAATCTGTATTTTGAACTTTTAAACTAAAAAAACGAAAGTATTTTATGTTGTTTGATTGTGTATAATTTTAGTTACATGATAAGAATTATTTTTAATAATAATGACAGTGTTCGTAATCTGTAAAACTCGTTACCAAAAGGAGAGTGGTATAACATTCCACAAGCAAGTGAACTTGCAGCTAATATTAAAAAAAATTAAAACTATTTAATAATATAGGTATTTAAAAATTTGTTACTAGTCTTAATATCATAATCACCAACATTTTTGGCCGTATATTATTGAGTTTTGATAAACAGTAAAATTCAATAGGGTTGTCGAGTTCCTTGTCTATAATATTTATCGATGTTCTTTTCTTCCCATATTTCTGTTAACAAACAAAGTCGCCAACAACAGATAATTATCAAATGTTTATTAATTAACAGGTTTCCAACTGAACCTAGACTAAAATTATGGCTTAAAGGCATAAATATTGTGAATTGGCTTCCGAAACAAAATGCTCATCTTTGTTCTGAACATTTCACAGACGACTGTTTTATTAGACATGAGAACCGCACTACTTTGAAAAAGGCAGTTTACCGACAATATTTTCTGGTAGTACCAGTACCAATAAGTATAAAAATACTAAATTATTATTTTTAATGTTTTTTTTTATTTCTTCTCTTCTCATTTTCCCTCAAACTCAAGGGTCATAGCTAAGTGTAAAAAGGTCGCCTGATGATGTCGAGCCACGTTGGATGTGTTAGTGGGCTGTGGCTAGAGGAGATTCCTCTCCCTGTACCGCTGTAGTCCAGGTGGAGTCGTAAGTGAAGAGGAGTGTTGGTATGGTGATTGGCAATGCGCCATGCTATCCTCCGTGACTTTGATGAGGCTGCACCTCTTGATGCTTCCAAGTGTTCGTTTTTTCCTGGCTTCATTCATATAACGAAAGAAAAGATGAAAGAAAATAGCCTATTCCTTTTTAAAAGGCCGGCAACGCACCTGCAGTTCCACTGGTGTTGCAGTTGTTCATGGGTGACGGTAATCACTTACCATTAGGTGAGCCGTATGCTCGTTTGCCCCCATTCCTATAAAAAATATCGGGCTCGGGGAGTCCATAGTGCAGGTGGAATTAGAAGTCGCGAAGGGCAGTGTACCTTGTGTTTCTGGTGCGTCTTATCTGAGAAAGAAAACGGGGAGAAGTCAGCAACTAAGGAGAGGCTGCCATGGGGCGGCTGGCGCTGGTGGGGCCGTGGATGTGCAGAAGAGCGTGTCCTTGACCCTGCAAATTTGCGTTGGAGGTTGAACACCATGGGGGTTTAATATTTAGTAAATGCAAGTCTAGAGATTTAATTCTCTCTCGAGTCTCGAGATTTAATTGTGCTTTAACTTCGTAGTGGCCCTACTTTAATTTCTTTCTTATTTACAAATTCTGGCCATCGTTATTAAACCCCTCAGAATATGTGGCAATGCCGAAGCTGGAAAGCTTAGGAGCTAGTGCAATATGCACCGACAAAGGTGATCTGGACGTTGATATTGAAACCATTGACGGCGGTACGTTGCTGCCTGCAAAATACATGGTGCTGCTCGAGATTGAGGGTCTGGGAAGAGATTGTTCTTTTTTATGTTGGTATCTTGATTTTTATTTTCTTTTTTATTAGTAGCAAACCGTTGCAAATGTGATTGTTGTTTATCAATATAAAATTGGTATGTAGATAGGAATACAAGTTGCTACCAGGAACAGAGTGTCACTTCAAAAGAAGGTTTGATCTAATTTCTGAAGTCTGCGTTAATATAAAGCATGATCATCGTTATGAATGTTTACCTGGGATAAATAGTCCGACTAGGTAAGATAGGTCAATCGATGCATTCAACTCGGCTGGGTAACGTTCGGGAGATTACAACACATCTTCTCGTTAGACATACCTCAAAACTAGATTGTACACCCAGTTAGTAAGCTGAAGTGGCAATGGACCGGCTATTTATCTCGAAGAACCGATAACCGATGGGGAAAAAAGCTCTCGAGTGCCTCGTACCGGCAGGCGATGTGTAGGACGTCCCCCACTAGACTTGAGTAGGATGTTAGGGTAACGGTAAAGTTAATGTTACATATTATATTTTGATTTTTTCAAAAAGGACACATAAAAATTAATAGCTTATCAGTGCTGATTCGTGGCAGAGCTTAGCTGCAGCTATATCATAGTTGTAGCATGAATAAGTCGCTCGATCGAGGTAGGACCACGTTCGCACAGAATACCAGCGTAAAATAGCATAGCATAAATAACATAGCGTAAAGTATAGCTTAGTGCTGTTTTGTATGGTAAGTATCGAGAACCGGAGACGCATTTAACTAGAAACAAGGTATTCATCCAAGTCTATCATCTATTCTACGCTGATATTTTGTAAGAGCGTGGTCCTCCCACGGTACCACGGTGGTGGGCGTAGATGGAGCTATAATCTGGTAAGACATGCAGGCAGTTGATGGATGCAGGCGGCTCAGGACCGTGCTTTGAGGCATTCCTTGAGGCCTCCCCTATGTTAAGTGGCTAATGGCTTTATATTAATATGATACATAAATAGAATGGACGTTACGGGTAAAGGCCATCTATCTATAGAGTCTATTCTATTTATTTAGGTATAGGTAGGATATAGAATTTTCAACGATATATTTTGTCACACTGTCTTATCCCTATTATTAGTTCCGTGGACGTCTACTTCTGCGGTCAAATCAAATCACCTCATCATGTCACGGTGTATAGCCAATCCAGCGTACTTATATATATAGAGGTCGGTGAATGAAAGTTACGGGTGGAGGCCGTAACGTCCATTCTATTTATTTAGGTATAAGAGTGGGTAGGGTGTAGAATTTTTATCAATATATTTTGTCACACTGCCCACCTCTGCTGTCAGCGTCAAAATAGCGCAGATCAAATTGCCTCATTAGGTCACGGTGTATAGTTAGTCCATATATAGAGGTCAGTGTTGTGAACCCATCTAAGAACTTAGAATTAAACTCCGGCCGCTGAGTTATTACCGATTTGACACATGATGAATTGACAATACTAGTGAAGTGACTGAACCAGTAACCCTAATATCATTTGGGAACAGTTTGTTTTTAAATATTCTAGTATAGTGTGTAATTAAATAAAATTAAAACAATAATAGTTAAAGACACAGGTTCTTTATTAGGTGGAGTATCCTTGATGGGCGTAGCTAATTGGTCGAGGACATATCAAAATAAAACAAATTTGTAAACACTGTTACACATTTTAATGAATAGAGTAGGTACAAGATGTTTTAATAAATGACTACCTATCATTTATTAAAACAATTATTCAGACTCTGAACCAGATTCGCCAGAGCTGTCATCGCTATCAGTCACTTGTATGACAATTTCATTCTCTATAATGGTGTCCACTCTTATATCGCGTTCATAATCTTCTGTTATTAGTTTTCGAGTCTTTTCGACGACCTTGACCCAATCTTCTTTCGTTCTGCTGCAAGCATCTTTTAATAGACCCATCATTTTTTTAGCACTGAATGGCGGAGTCGTATTATTACGAGCTGCGTAACCGGTAATGTAAACATTAAATAACGTTAATTTATTACATTAAATAAACGAAATGTTACACAATTACCTACATGTAAGGGCATGAGATATTTATTTCTTAGTTATGTATCTTTTTACTTATATGCTGAATATTGGATGTTATAATAGTACAAATTACTCATATTCATAACTTATGCGATAAAAAACAATACTTTTGATTTGTGCCCATATTAGCTCAATGGCATTGTACTGGCAGTGATAAGGCGGAATTCGAAGTACCCGATGTCCATGTGCTAGAGCTATCTCATCTACTTCATAACGGACTCTTGATGTTTTATTTTCGCGTATCAACTTTACTAAGTCAGACTTTAGCATTTCGGCAGTAGTTTCAATTCCATTTTGGTGTAGCCATGCTACGAGATCAGCTTTCTTGTCGGCCTGAGTAGGCGCTTTATTCACTTGTTTCAAGTGATATAAAGCGTTGTCCATTATTATGATAGAAGGCTCTGGCAGGCTGGGTAATAATTGATTTTCGAACCAATTCGTAAAAGTGTCTGTATCCATCTCCTCGTAGTAATCGGAAGTACTTTTTGACGCGAAAGCCATTTTCCAAGTCCATTTTCAAAGAAACAACACTTAGCAGAACCGGCATGACAAATTATCAGTCGCGATCCTTTTCCAATTGGAACCTTTGAGGTTGATGCTTTTGTTTCGTCAGTCCAAGAGCGTGACACAGTGTGGTTCGCATTTAACCATGTTTCGTCAACAAAAACGACGTTGTCCCAAGACTCGATTTTTCTGGCTTCTCTTAAAAACTCTCCTTTTAATTATTAAATCAAATCTTTCCATTAATATTTTCTTTTTATTCGTTTTTTTATATTCAAACCCAATTTCGTGCAATAGTTTTGACAACGTCGTTTTACCGCCTTTAAACAAGCCAGCTTCTTTTAAAGAGACCGAAAGCAAACGTCTAGTTGGAAACTCGTTCCTAGTATAATAACCATATATGTGGTTTCTTATTGCATCTGCATCAAAAACATCAACACCTGTCACGGGCTTTTGTCTTCGTTTTTTCTTAGGAGTGCGTAAAACATTATCTTCACTTCCAGAAGCACCAAATTTTTCTTTATTTATATTATATAGTGTTTTTGCACCAATTCCAAGAGCTTGTGAAACCCGATCTTTCACTTGAGTGACAGGAATCAAAGGGCCGCCATTTTGTGACTCACGCTCAAAGTAATCCTGTAGCTTTAGTACAAGCTCACGACATTGACTATTCAATGTTTTTCCTCGTTTCGGCATTTTCAACAAAATTACCAAACACAAACAAAATTAGTCCAATAAAGCGCAACGATAAACAGGAGAAAGCCGAGTCAAAAAACCAAGAGAACGTAGTCTGTGCGCACGAGAGTACGGAAGACGACTAAACAGATTAAAATAGCGGTGGTAAGGGTGTTGCCAGAATAGTATCGCCAATTACTTAAAAAAATACACCTATAACATTGCTTAATTGAGGGAGAAAATTATATTTATTAAATGTTGTTTTATATATTATGAATGTTAAAAATTATACACAATCATTTTAATTGTATTTATTTTTAAATCATAGAAAACAGTATTTATGTCTTTGGATCACACATAAATCTTAAAAATCATAGAGATACTGGCAACACAGTGCAATTAGGAGACGCAAAAAAATGGTAGCATTATAGTCTAGTTGCTCGAAAGAATAAGTAAAATAAAAATATCTAAATAAAATAAATATCATATCTATTCCAATGAATTCGGACCGAATACTATCAAGCACATCACTATGAAAACTAGACGCACGATGTAACTTTGTACAAGCGCGTCAAAGAACAAAAAATAAATGTTTTCATATTATTTACAAACTATTTTAAGTTTTGAAAAAGAGTTTATTGGAAAATTACTTGATTCTGACATTTTGACATAAAGTTTTATATTAAAGAGGTATTCTAAATCATTCGGCAAATGTGTCGCTCGTGCAAGGTTATATCGATTAATTTAAGAATAATCTGTCAAATCGGTAATAACTCAGCGGCCGTACTATAATGATCACTGCCGTGGGTTAATATTCGTCAGTTGTAACAAAAACATTCGAAACCACTATAAGCAGGCGATCTTTTATTTTTGGTTCTGGCAGCACCATGTTACTGTCATTGCACCAAACCCAAGCTGTCAAGTTGAAGTCTGATTTGAATTTGTTTGTCAAAGTCAGTTAAAGTTCTGGACATGAAGGTTAGAGAACAGGACAACGATCGCCGTAGAAAATAGTGTCCCAGAAGTATGGACACCATCAGTGAGGCGCTGCGATCACTAAGTTCAGTCAATAAAAGTCATTTTCAGTCTATTTTTCCGATCAGATGCTAAACCACTTGCACATTCACCCACAATAAAATATTTCTCCATTTTTAATGTTTCTTTTTGTAAAAATTACAAAATTACGGCGCATGAAAATTTTCTACGAAAAAATGAAATGAAAATTTGTACATTGTTCAACTAACTTCACCTACTTGTACTCATAAGCAGCTAACTTCGCAGTCACTACTTATCGACGTCAGTGCCGCTATGTAGGTATTCTACAATTTTCAAGGACAGGCGGGCTATGCTTTAGTACGTAGTGATCGTTCTCCTGTTCTCTAAACTTCATGGTTCTGCAGGCGTCTCTCTTTGGTATATAGCGTATTATCTATGGAGTGTAGAAGCAAGGAGTACCAACTCCCATATTAAAATAGTTGAAAAAGTAGCCATCTGTAAGCAGTAAATAACAGTTCAAAAACTTTCCACAACAACGCTGGAGTAGCTACTGGGATGAAATGAACTTAGCAGTTGTCGACGGTTTAAGTGTGCTGCTAAACTGCTTAGTAGCTCTATGTCTAAAATAATTTTATTTAATATATATAATCTCGAAAAATTCATCTATCCCACTAATATTTTTCGGTGCGTTCTTTAAAGTATACCCCGTAGTTATAGTAGCGCCACCCTTATTTAACGGTTTTCTATGGACACTTTTTAATACACAGTCTGTGTACTCCTTACTTCTCACAGAGTACATAACGTAGACAGAGACTCTGTCTACGGTACATTATATATATCTGGAATTACTTAGTTCATCCTTTCAGTTTATACAAAGGTACTCTGTGGTTCATCCATAGTATTATCTATGGGCGTCCCTCTTCGTTCATAAATTAAAATAATAAATAAATAAAGTTATAAAATATTTTGATGGTATTTAGTGCATATTAAAAAAAAAGTGAATAATTCAGTAAAGAAAAGATAGACAATGGCGAATACACAATTCGCCCTTACATCAAAACTGCACGAAAAGAATATCTGTACTGGTTTAAGTAATTTGCAACAAGTAAGTGTAGTTTTTTCAATTATAAATTTAAATCTTTATAGTTTTAAAGAGTTATTATTGTACCTAATAAGCAATAATCATACACCTGATTTTAAAAAGACCTAATTTCAACGCTGATTCAGACGATTAACCGCTTGTTTATCGTAAACATACAAGTTACAGAAAAATTTAACATAATCATAAAATGTATATTTTAATATTTTGATATTAAAAGTTACTAATAATTTTACATATTGTATATGTTGCGCCACTTAATTTTTTACTATAATGTCCAAATTTCATGTTTTGGATAGTGTAGAGCTTTGCATAATTCCATACCTTAAAAAAGGAATAAAGATGTAACCGATATATTCTATATATAGTATTTGTTAAGATATTAGTCATATTAGGTGGATTCATAGATCGGTAATCCAACAGATTCTGATATGCTAATATTTCATATTTACTTCATTGATACACTGACTGTTCAACATCCATTGGATAATATCATTGGATATTCGTGACCCGACCGAATGAATTAGCCGATATGAGTGTTTGGCGGATATTAGTTCACTATTGTACAAACCTTAGGGACTATTTTCAATTGGATATTTTACAAATACAACAACTCTTTATAGATGTCTAAAATTTCTTGACTTGCTAGTGGTGTTTTTAATAGTGTATATCTCAGTTTATTTATTTTAATAAAATTATTGGGCATATATTAGTTTTATTGTCATGGTATTTCCCCATAATTCTTGTTAAGATTATATCGACTTTCATTAAAATGAGTTCACATATTTTTAGTAATCGTAAATCATTATTAAAAATTAAACTAACAAAATAAGGCCCCTTGTTTTGTTCAGTGGAATTTATTTTTATTCTAATCACCTAAAATCACTATCAATAATACTTATATACTATAATATCATTAATTTAGTAAGAACATTATACATAAAAAACTATAAAAACTAAGGCTATAAAAACTAATAACCTTACTTGGTAATATAAACTTAATACCTACATGCCTAGAGTAATAATATGTATAACCGTCTTATTAAGATATCAGTGATATTCATATATTAATTGAAAATATTATAATATCACTTAACAAATATGTTCATATTAACTAATACTGACAAATATCAGTATTAACCCATCTTTAAAAAGTAACAATGTTAAGCAAAATTATAAATTTAGCCACAAGGACTATTGGGACTCTATGGAAGATGGTTAAATGTTTTTACATACATCTATATAAATAAAATGATAGATGTTTGCAGTTTTGCATGCATCACGGAAAAACTACAGGATAGATTTCAATTAGGTTTTCTAAGTTTTATTGCTTAGACACTTGGCCCTTATCTAAATTATTGCAATATCTTCATTTATTATAAAGTTATTAGAGTTTTAACAACATGGATAAGTTGTGGGTATCAGCTAATAAATATATAAAAATATGTTTTCAGAATGGAGAATTTGTGGACATGACTCTAGCAGCAGATGGACACCTTGTAAAAGTGCATCAAGTAATACTAGCACTTGCTAGTCCGTATATCAAAGATCTAATCTCTTCAGCTCAATGTCAACACCCGGTTATATTTCTTAACGTAAGTTTTAGATTTTTTTACTTATTTATTATAAAGTAAGATAGGTGACACTTAATATGATAAATGTGGTTCGCGTGAGTTATATTTTTGGTATATTTCTAATCTAAGTTTGTAAATAATTATAAATAGTCAGTGTAACTTGTCTTTAACATTCTTTATAATGGCACACATAACCATATCATTATATGATGTGGCTTGCAGGTGGTTAAAGTAAATCCAGGGCAACAGCACAGTTCCACCAATGGAATCTGATCTGCTCTAGATAATAGAGTGGTGGCTTTACTCATCATCATCATCATCATCATCATTACAGCCCTTCACAAGTCTACTGCTGAACATAGGCCTCCCCCAAGTAATGCCACAAAGCACGGTCCTGAGCCACCTGCATCCATCGACTTCCTGCATATCTTACCAGGTCGTCACTCCATCTAGTGGGGGGTCGCCCTCCACTACGCCTACTGGTACGAGGCTGCCACTCAAGAACCTTTCTTCCCCATCGGTTATCGGTTCTTCGAGCTATATGGCCGGCCCATTGCCACTTCAGCTTACTAATCCGTTGGGCTATGTCGGTCACTCTGGTTCTACTGCGGATATCCTCATTTCTGAGTCTACACGCCGAGAAACTCCGAGCATAGCCCTCTCCATAGCTCGCTGAGCGACCTTGAGTGTCCTCATACGGCCAGCAGTGAAGGACCACGTCTCAGATCCGTAAGTCATCACTGGCAACACGCACTGGTTGTACAATCTGGTTTTTAGAGATTGAGGTATACCTGACGAGAATATATGTCGTAATTTCCCGAACGCTGCCCAACCGAGTTGAATCCGTCGATTGACCTCTCGGTCGAAGTTGGACTTACCTAGTCGGACTATTTGTCCCAGGTAGACGTACTCGTCAACAACTTCGAGCATAGTGCTCCCAACAACTACCGGCATAGGTGTGACATGGACATTGAACATGATCTTTGTTTTGTCCATATTCATCTTAAGACCTATCCGTTGGGAGGCACTATTGAGGTCATTGAGCATAGTGCTTAAGTCCTCCAGCGATTCTGCCATAAGGACTATATCGTCGGCAAATCGAAGGTGAGTGATGTATTCGCCATTGATATCAATACCGTATCCTTTCCAGTCCAGTAGCTTGAAAACGTCTTCCAATGCATCGGTGAAGAGTTTCGGGGATATAACGTCACCCTGTCTTACACCTCTCTGCAGTTGGATAGGTTTCGAGCTCTGGTTCTGTACTCGGATAGCCATCGTAGCCCTACTGTACAAACACTTCAGCACTTCGATATACCGACAGTCAACTTGGCACCGCTGGAGGGACTGTAGCACCGCCCAAATTTCGACGGAATCAAAGGCTTTCTCATAGTCCACATACGCCAGGCAAAGTGGCAGATTGTACTCTTCAGTTTTCTGTACAATCTGCCGCAGGGTATGTATGTGGTCTATGGTACTGAAGCCTTTTCGGAAACCGGCTTGTTCGGGAGGCTGGAAGTCGTCGAGTCTGCGTGCGAGACGATTCGTAATGACTCTCGAAAACAGCATATAGACGCGGCTCAGAAGGGAAATCGGTCTGTAGTTCTTTAAGAGAGCGTTGTCGCCTTTCTTAAAGAACAAGAAGAACTTGTTCTTTAAGTGGCTTTACTATAAAATAATAATTTAATAATAACCTGCATTGTGGGGAAACTGTATGGTAAGGTACTAATTGAAAGAGTTACGAAAAAAAAATGATGGAAAAATTTGGGAAGTGCAATTGGGATTTCGTAAGGGAATGGGGTATATAAATCAAGTTTGTTCCATGCGCATGATCGCAGAGCAGGTTTGGCCATAAATCAAAAAGTAAAAAAAAAAGGCACGTAGTGGACAGAGATGTGCTATGGCAAACACTGAACTCATTTGGGTTGAGCGCTGGGTTGATACAGGCATTAAAATCTTGTTATAGGGAATCTAGTGTTTGTGTTGGGATCAACGGAGTCTACTTGGACTGGTTTAGCATCCATAAAGGTGTCAGACAGGGCTGTGTGGCTTCCCTGTGGCTGTTCAATCTATTTATAGACAGTTGTGTACACCGATGATCAGGTCATATTTGCGTCATCGGCGGCCGAGCTGCAAATGATGGTTACATTAATGAACAGTTCATTAAAAGAAAGGGGAATGAAAGACGAAAGTAATGATTTTTGAAAGAGAAGAAAGCAAAACGATATGTGAAATAGGAATAGAAGCGGAGTTGGTCAAGCAAATGGATGAGTTTGTAAATTTGGCATGTGTATTCAGCAGGGATGGGAGTTATGATAAGGATATAGAATGACGAGTGAATGCAGGAAATAAAGAAAATTTCTATTAACATCATCTTTTTTGATGCTATTTGTTAGACGGAAGGATTCCTTTTCTGAAAATGATAGAAAGCTAAAGACAACCAATATAATTACGGGCTGTGATGCGTTTCGTCTTAGTCCTCAGAGATCGCAATGCATCTATAGCCTAATTTGCTTAAAGTTATACATAGACTGGTATAAAGGTATTCATAGACTGCAGTAGTTACTTACCATCAGGTTTTTATATGTGGTAGAGCCACGCTACAGCTATTATGGTTGTAGCATGAATGGGTTGGCTCGACCGGAGAAGGATCACACTCTCACAGAATACCAGCGTAAAATAGCAGCTCATTGCCGCTGTGTTTCGTATGGTGAGTGTGGAGAAGCGGAGACCCTATTTACTGCAAACGAGGCATTCCATCTTAGTCCTCGAGGATCACAACTGCATTTGCATTTTGATTGGTAATTGAGGATAGATGTAGATATCTATGGGCCACAGCAACCACTTACCATCAGGTGGACTGTGCTCGTATGTCACCCTATCCTATAAAAATAAGGTAGAGCGTAAGTACTTTTGTCAATATTCAATTTTATAAATAAATGCTTATTAAAATATTAATATAAAAATTAGGTCCTGTGCTTGTTATGAAAGTTCACATACGAAATGAATGTCCAAATATCACCAGAAATTATTCAATAAAGTAATTAGTGTAATAAGTTTATCCTCAAACACTGTCATGACATTGTCCTTATACAATATTCAATGTCATACTTATGTTATAAGATTGGGAAATTTAGAGACATTAACAAGGATATTGAGATAATAAACTGGTTCTAAAAATGAACATGTGTCATTGTGCAAATTAATTCTCTATCTGGGTTTCAAACCAATGACATGCTATGTAATGAGAAAGTAAGTTGTGGTTACAAAAGAGATTTTTAATGTAATCTCACAAATTTTTTTTTCCAGAAAATATCCTACACAACACTTGCTGCTATGCTAGAGTACATTTACACAGGTGAAGTTTTGGTTACAGTTGATAATTTAAGAGAACTGCTTGAAGCAGGTAAAGAACTTCACATAAAGGGCTTGGAGGATATGGTATGTACAGTTTCAATATACAGTAGAGCATCGATTATCCAAACTAATTGAGGGGATGTGGGTGTTCGGAAAACTGGTTTATTCAGATAATTAAACTGTATAATGTTATGTACCAATATACCAATAAAACATATTACTTGGGGGAGGCCTATGTTCAGCAGTGGACTTGTGAAGGGCTGTAATGATAATGATGATGATGATGGTAGTAGTTCGGTTAAGCGATCGTTCGGTTGATCGACGTTCGGATAATCGACGCTCTACTATATGTATACTATTATATAATTTTTTAAGTAAATATAATTTTTTAAGTAAACATAGCACTCTGTACATCTGATGGAATTGGAAGCTGTAGCCCGTAGATTTTTACATCTATCCTTGTCTATGAGTCTATGTATGTATGTAATGCAGATGTGTTGCACCCATGAGGACTAAGATGGAATGCCTTGTTTCCAGTAAAAAGGATCTCCAGTTCTCTACACTCATCATATGAACCACGGCATCATTGAACAGATATTTTAAGCTGGTATTGTGTGAGAATGTGGTCCTAACCCATTTATGCTACAACCTTAATATAGCTGAAGTATGGTGCTACCACATACATACTATATGCTGCTTTACTTCTTGCCAAATTTCATGATTCTAGACAACGAACTGGACCACCTTTTAAGTTTTTGAATTGATGAATGAAAGATGTTTAATTTTGGGTATGTGTAAAGTCTATCATACAACAAAAACTCATGTATATGTATCTATGGTTCAATATATAAATAATAAAACATAACTTAAAGTTCATTCGCCATCACCACATCCATTGCAGTTCATCAAAGTTACTGCATTGTCCTCCCCCATAGACTACCGACTATGCAATTATAAGAGAGGGGATATATGCGTAGGTGGCGCCAGCTTATTGTTATTTTTAGTTGTTGTCAAGAAAATGCTGCTGCACATTTCCTGTTCAGTTTTTTGTCTGTTTAAATATGCTACAAAAATCCATAGGGGTTTATCAATTAAAAATAATAACTTAATAAAAACTGTAGAAAATTGCTTGTATTCAAAATATTTAGTTATTTTTATCAAATTTATTACTATATATACAAATAGCAAATAATTATATTTCAAAAAAATATTTCAAATTGACATATCACAAAATAATTATACAATCAAGCAATCCTACTCTTTGGAAAGTCCAGAATATTGATGATGTTAAAGGGAAGTGTATGAAAGTTTGCAGTAACTTGCAGCACCTAGAGACGGCACTAACCCCGAAGAATAGTCCCAGACAGGATACAGAAGATGGAGATAAAATTATGGAGGGCGAGATGTACCTAGACACAAATAGCGGGGATGGGGAAGATTTTGGACAGAATATTATGTATGTTATTTTTATTTAATTATAAATAATGTATTTATTCAAAGAGTAATAATGTAGCTTATTTTAGTTAAATAACAGTGTTTCACATAAAAAAATTATACTAATTCATTGCCAACTGACAAGAAATTAAAACACATTTTTAGTGTCAGTAGTGTCTACTTGCCAAGTTCATGCTCTTAATCATCTTTGTGGGTTGGAACCTGTTATTCAACTACTTCAATTAACCACACCTAAAGAAGCTTTTTATACTTAATAGGATTGGTTTTCGAGAATATTCTTTGTGTAAAACTCTTGTTAAAAAACAAACAGAACTCTTGTCATGATTTTAAATTTCGAATAGATCCATATTAGATTTCAATTTTTATTAAACATCTGTTATTTTCAGTCATAAAGATACATACATAGACTACGACCGGGACGATACTATCATTCAAGAGTCATTCATTGAGGACGCGATGGACGCAGATGAAACAGGATCGATAAACGAAAGTCGCATTAAGGAAAACACACTATGTAAGTGATTTCATCGTTTGAATCTAACCCGTAAGCGCCTTTTGAATCACGATGAATGTAAAATTATTTTACTCTTTTGTGTACTTTAAAGTCGGCTTTTATTTTTGGGTACATGGCATATGACCACGGCTATCCTCTGAATATCACTATGAATGTATTGTACATATAAATTGTTTATTTAAGAGCCCTCTTACATTTCGGCGTTACGCAAATTTAGGTATTTTACGCTCCGGTAGGGCGATGACATACGCGAGCGATACTTATTTCATATCTCTTATATGTATTATATTCACTCGCTCGCACTATGGTACTGTGAGTATAGCGACTAAACGATCTTCTTGATCTTCCATTATACAAGTTTTCTTAGGATGGAGTTCAGTGAATGGAAAATAATTGGTGTGTCATTTTTAAGTTATCTAATTAATTTATTATAATCTATTAGATATATTTTTCATTATTTATGAACCTTAGTGTTGAAATAAGTACACATAAATATTTTAATTGTTTCACAGTAATCAATTGTTAACCAATGTTGGTTAATAATCGATTATATCTTATAACGGTACCTAGCATAGTGGTATAAATAAATAAATAGTATGGTTGCAACCTGTTTTAGTAAATAAAATAACCAACTGTAACTAATATTTTTTTAATCGATACTACTTACAGTCAATTACCATATTTTTTATTATAAAAATATTTGCCGCCGAGCTAATCTCGAGTTTATAACTTCAGGCAGTACTTACTTTTTATAAAACGCTTGTAACTTGGGAAACATATTCAAAATCCGAAATTTGTCATTTTTGTACATTTTTTAGTACTTTTACTGCATAATCTGGGACAGTGCATATGGCAGGCATGCAGACATTTTTATTCTCCATTATTTTTTCTCTAGAGATAGGATATTTATTTTTTTACATTTAGTGACACATTGATCTCTGTATTTATTTTTCCCCAATCCGACTGGTAAGAAAGCTCAGTAACAGTCAAAATAACTATAATGAGTTAACTATCTCGTATAATAATAACTTGCGAACTTTATACTACTTGAAATATACGGTACGAAAGTAAATAATTCCAAAGATTAAAAATTTCTCGATGCTCTAGCACAAAATAGCAGCGCCTATGTGGCCGTGCGGCCGTGGAAGGAAAAGGGGAGATCTCCCGCCGGGCAAGGTGTTATGCCCGGGGAGCGGCCAACACTCCGTGTGATAGTTCGGAGATGTTCTATATACTGTTTCATCATCATCATCGTATGCCACAAATCATGGTCCTGAGCCACCTGCATCCATCGACTTCCCGCATGTCTTAACAGGTCGTCACTCCATCTAGTGGGGGGTCGCCCTACACTTCGTCTACCGGTACGAGGCTGCCACTCGAGAACCTTTTTTCCCCAACGGTTGTCGGTTCTTCGAGCTATATGGCCGGCCCATTGCCACTTCAGCTTACTAATCCGTTGGGCTATGTCGGTCACTCTGGTTCTACTGCGGATATCCTCATTTCTAAGTTTATCACGCAGAGAAACTCCGAGCATAGCCCTCTCCATAGCTCGCTGAGCGACTTTGAGCGTCCTCATACGGCCAGCAGTGAAGGACCATGTCTCAGTTCCATATGTCATCAGTGGCAACACGCACTGGTTGTACAACTTAGTTTTCAGGTTTCGAGCTTAGTGCTCCCAACAAATACCGGTATAGGTGTGACATGGACATTAAACATGATCTTTGTTTTGTCCATGTTCATCTTAAGACCTATCCGTTGGAAGGCACTATTGAGGTCATTGAGCATAGTGCTTAAGTCCTCCAGCGATTCTGCCATAAGTACTATATCGTCGGCAAATCGAAGGTGAGTGATGTACTCGCCATTGATGTTAATACCGTATCCTTTCCAGTCCAGTAGCTTGAAAACGTCTTCCAATGCAGCGGTGAAGAGTTTCGGGGAAATAACGTCACCCTGTCTTACACCTCTCTGCAGTTGGATAGGTTTCGTACTCTGGTTCTGTACACGGATAGCCATCGTAGCCCTACTGTACAAACACTTCAGCACTTCGATATACCGACAGTCAACTTGGCACCGCTGAAGGGACTGTAGCACCGCCCAAATTTCGACGGAATCAAAGGCTTTCTCATAGTCCACATACGCCAGGCAAAGTGGCAGATTGTACTCTTCGGACTTCTGTACAATTTGCCGAAGGGTATGTGTGTGGTCTATGGTACTAAAGCCTTTTCGGAAACCGGCTTGTTCGGGAGGCTGGAAGTCGTTGGGTGGTGCGAGAGAGATGAGGGTGAGTTCTTCAAGAGGGCGTTGTCACCTTTCTTGAAGAATAAGACCAGCGCGCTTCTGCTCCACGCCTCCGGAGTAGAGCCACCATGGAGGACGGAATTAAGGAGCCTCTGAAGGACTTCAAGTACCGGTTTTCCACCCGCTTTCAGAAGCTCCGCTGTAATTCCATCCTCGCCCGGGGACTTGCTGTTTTTAAGGTGCTGAAGAGCCATTATAATCTCGCTCAGACTGACGTCCGGGATATCATCGGAATAGTGTCGGATAAGACCCGCTCTTTGATCGTTACTCACACTTGCGTGTGGCTCCAACGATGATGTGTACAGCTGCCCATAGAACCTCTCAATCTCACTCAGAATCTCAGGTGTCCCGGAAACGATGCTGCCACACTCAGTCTTCAGCTTTGACAGTTGGCTCTTTCTGGCAGACAGATCTCTGGCATAGACTTTGGAGCCCTGGTTCCGCTCAATCGCTTCTTCAATACGAGCAGTATTAAATTTGCGTAAGTCTCGCCGCATGCATTTGGAGATCTGTCTGTTCAGTTGCCTGTATGCTGTCAAATCTGTCGACGATTGCAGCCTCATCTCCCGTCTAACAGCAATGAGATTAAGAGTGTGATCGGAGAGCTTTTGTGTTCTTCTGCGGCCGGTCTTGCAGAACTTAGCTCCGACCGCATGGACAGTTTCCACGAGCTTGTCATACATATCGTCCACTGCATTGCAATCTTCTAGGCACTGAAAGCGGTTACGTAACTCGAGCTGAAAGATTTCGGGATTCTGGATTAGAGCATCAGGGGGACGGAGCGTTGACTTCATTAGACGAGACCTCTCCAACTTAACGTTTAGGTTCAGTGTGCCTCTAACCATTCGGTGATCGCTGCCAGTTTTCACCCTTGCGATCACTGAGACATCACTGAACAGTTGGCGTCTGGTCGTCATAATGAAGCCAATCTCATTTTTTGTCGAACCGTCGGGGCTCGACCAGGTCCACTTCCTGTGGGGCCGCTTCTGGAAGAAAGAGTTCATCATAAAGAGTCCCTCTTTCTTCATAAAGTCGGCCAGCTGCTGGCTCCTACGGTTCCGTTGCCCTACTCCAAATTTCCCTACCTTCAGCTCACCGCTTTCTCTTGTGCCTAGTTTTGCGTTGAAGTCTCCCATCAACACCGTGTAGTGGGTTGTGGAGGAATGTATGGCTCTGGAAATATCCTCATACATTTCCTCCACCTCCTCATCGGGATGTGACGAGGTTGGTGCGTAAACCTGTATGACCTTCAGCGAATACCGTTTGGTGATTCTGAATATCAGGTACGCGACCCTCGTCGACACACTCCCAATCTTTACAACGTTGTTGACGAGAGACTTGTGGACGATAAATCCGACACCTCCTTGGGACAGATGGTCGCCCTCCCGGTGATAGAACAAGTTGCCGGACTTAGCACCCCCTGCCCCGCCGTTACCATGGTCGCCACCGTAGCCAGGAATAGCGAGGCCGCCGGGGACTGGGGGCCGTTTGTTTGCGTCGTTACTCATGGGGGGATATTTGCCATAGTTGTCCCGCTTGGCGAGTGGGTTGGCAACCGCAGTTTTTTATTATCTCACAGTTTTTATCAGGAAGATGCTGCTGCCCATCTCCTGCCTGTCTCCCTCTGTCGCCTCTTAAGACACCCACGGGCAGATATGGGGTAGTGGATATTCTCAACCGCCACTACACGGCTGTACTGTTTATGATTCGGAATTTTGATAGCGTGATTTAGTCTTCGGTATGTTTCGCTTGCGGCGCGACGACAGCGCCGCCACACCTATAACGGCAATTGACGCACACTACGATAATATCAAAACGAGATGGAGCCCGTGAAATAAATTGGCACAGGTCTGACCTCGAGATTCGCTGGCGCGGTAGTATTCACTACAGATGGCCGACGCAGTGAAACATATGTTACTTTTATTTAATTAATTAAAAAATAATAGTAACGATTTAAAACGTAAAAATCATAGTATAGTTTATACAAATGTTGGTGATTATCACACTTTCAGTTGCATAGTAAACACGAATCCATTTAGCTTCGTCAATAAGTCGTAAATTCAAGTGCAAAATCTTCGGTATTTGATATGTGACCAACACCGTTTTGTGCGCGAAATTAAGACCTTCATGTCTAAAATGTCAAAAAATCTTGCTAAACTGTTCTAGTGCAATGGAGTAATCTTGTAAAAACTATTTCAACATTACCAAATAAAGTGTCGGTGATTCGTGTACATCAAGTGAATGATTTGTGTAAACAATAAAAACGAGTATGCGTCTCTTCGGGTGAATGTTTTTGCTTCTAAACAAACTCAATGAATTGATTTTCTTTTTAAATTGTTGCTTTTTTTTCTGTCTTACAAATTTCGTCAATTATTTTGAATCACCTTGTTGGTAGTATCGGACATTAAATAAAATTTATTAAATTTGCAGTAAGGTATTAAACACTTGTAACAAATTTCAGTGACAAACAATAATATAATGTCTACCGTCAAACTTGATTTTGGATGCTACGGGGAAAACCCTGACACAGAAGACTACATTCAGTACTTGAAATGCTCAAAAAAGTTTCATACGGCCTGTCTCTGCTCTCCCACTGTAATAAAAGCTAGTGAATTCTCCACATGAGAATGTCCTTTATGTACCTGCCTACGACCCAAAACTGGGAATAACGACAACGCGCTGGTGCGGCTAAATCCTAATGT